TATGTACCAATTTTAAAAATGGATCAATAGATTTCTGTGTCTAGCAGAGAATCGGTTAATGAGTTTTGAATAGTGTGCCAAGGTGACTCAGCTTTATGACTTTCCATGGATGACAGATTCTGCCCCTGCGACAAGGTCAAGCCCATAAAAATTCCAATCGGATACCATAAAAAGGACAGTTTCGTATGTCAGTTTAATTCTATCGCAGTCTCTTCTGTCAGCATAGCTGGCGATTCCATCTGTTTCAGTTTAAGATTCACTCCAACCATGCCTTTGTAGTAGGTGACACACACACACACGTGCACACACACACACCCACACCCACACAGTTTCTTTATGTAACATACATGATGTAAATATGTAATATAAATATATTGTTATATAGAATATAAATATATTTACATTGTAGTAGAGGCTGAGTCAGTGATATAATAGAGCATCTGCAATTCAATATTTAGAGTATAAAGCTGTTTTTCCTTTGTGAAACTATTTGTTTTCCATACACTGCTTGGTGTTGGGTGGGGAAATAATGTAGTTACTTATCTGCTACACTAATGAGCAGATGACTGTCCTCCTCTCCTGCGGCTCTTCTGCAGAAATGAGTCGCCACAGTGAATTGCTTGTGTTTATTATTCTGGTCATGGGTTAGCACCAGGTGTCACAGTGAATCAATCTTGGATTGGTAATAGGTTGTCACGAAGGCAGAAAATTGCAGGCTAGAGAAAATTGTCCTATGCCCATTATATAATCTCAAGTAATGATGGTTGGTTATGCATGGAGGGGCTGAAACAGTCCATAGCATAAGGAAACCAAGCAGGGGTCTCTAAATAGGTCAGAGGGTTCTAACAGATATCCCACCCCCTTCTGCTTCTTTGAAAAGCTCTTGTTACTGAATGGTCATAAAGAGAGTTTTGTCTGCCTCCCACGCTAACCAACAAGACAGGCTTACCAACAACGTGGTTCTGGCAGGCAGCCAGCCGGCCGGCATTTCAATGATGCTTGCTGCTGTGGCAACCCCACGGGCCTTTCATGGGTGAGCGTGGACTCAGCAGCTGAAGGCCAACTGCAACGTGGAAGGCAGCAGTGCCAGCACAGTCCTGGTTCCAATGACTTAATGACGCCTGGGCCACTGCAAGACCAGCGTGGCAGACAGACCCCCTGGCGAGGAGCTACATGTGGGGTGGGTGGTGGGATATTGTGAAATGTATATTTGGTCTTCACCCCTGTTTCCCAAAACCCTTAGAATCTCTGGAGTGAAGACTATTTTTTGCCTGCTCGTGATTGACTGATAGCTGGCGGGTCCCCAGGTTGGCAGCTTTAGGATGGGGCTGGACACAGGAAAGACCAAGGCAAGATGGGAGGGTTGGGACTTGTAGCCCCACCACCAACCTCCAGGGAAGGGACTTCCAGGGAGGGGAAGGGGCTGAAGGTTGAGTTGATCCCTAGTGGCCACTGGTTTAATCAGGCATGCCTATATCATGAAGTTTCCATACAAACCCAAAAGGGTGAGTTCGGAGAGCTTCTGGATAGCTGAACATGTGGAAACTCCTGGAGGGTGGCCGCAGGGGTGCACTGGGGAGGGCATGGAAGTCCACATCCCTTCCCACAAGCCTTACCCTACAAGTCTCTTCATCTGCATCCTGTGTAACATCCTTTATAATAAACTGGTGAACGTCAGTAAGTGTTTCCCGGGGTTCTGTGAGCCACTCTAGCAAATTAACCAAATCTGAGAAAGGGGTCACGGGGACCCTGATTTGCAGCCAATCAGTCAGAAGCACAGGACACTTTCCTCCTTGTGCTGGGCCTCTGGAGTGGGAGAAGGCCTCCTTGGAGGACTCAGCCTCCCACTGTGGTATCTAACATTATCTCCGGGCAGGTAGCTTCACAATTGAGTTGAACTAGAGGAGACTCGGCTGGTGTCCGCTGAAGAATCAATGGCTTGCTTGGTGTGCGGGGAAAACCTCCTGTACATTTGGTCACAGAAGCATTTTGTGTTGTGAGAATAGAGTAGGAGAGAAAACATTTTGTTTTTCTACTCAGGTGGCATGTTCCAAATAAAAACATTGGAAAGAATATGAGTTTAAAGAGACGGATTGTAATGCATGATCTAGTGGCATACTATATAAATAAATCTCGTAAATTTGGATTTCACTGCCTTAGAATTTGTAAGAATTCAGCCGGGTGCAGTGGCTCACACCCATAATCCCAGCACTTTGGGAGACTGAAGCGGGCAGATCACAAGGTCAGGAGATCGAGACCATCCTGGCTAACATGGTGAAACTCCGTCTCTACTAAAAATTAAAAAAAAAAAAAAAAATTAGCTGGGTGTGGTGGTGGGCACCTGTAGTCCTGGCTACTTGGGAGGCTGAGGCAGGAGAATGGCGTGAACCTGGGAGGCGGAGCTTGCAGTGAGCCGAGATCGAGCCACTGCACTCCAACCTGGGCGATAAAGTGAGACTCCGTCTCAAAAAAAAAAAAAAGAATTAGTACGAATTCAGACTCAGGGTCCAGGATGAATTTACTGCTTGAGAAGATGTAATGTGCTACAAGAAAAAAAAAAGTAAATCAAACAAACTATCCAGATGATCTCAGCCTGTGGAGAGTAAAGCACAGGTTTTTAAGTTTCTTAGATACACCGCATTGATGAGGATACAGGCTAAGCTGCTGAAACAGGAGATCGCAGAGTATAGTGACTTCAGCTTTTTCAGTCCTCTTGGTGTCTGGTTCAGGGCTCGTTTGGTGGCTTGTGGGGTCATCACATTGTATACTCTTCTGTCCTGTGTGCCAGCACCTGGTCACATGGCCACCCCTGACTGCAAGGAAGATGGGAAAATGTCATTGTAAGCTGGGTAACCAAGGGCCCAGCTAAAACTCAGGGTTCTTTTTCTAATAGTTGAAAGGGAGAGTGAGTATCACAGAGCCCCAGCAATTTCTCTCCTAAGCATCTTTTATTTTCCAATGAGGACACTGCCAGGCCAGTTGTGTCTTCCTTGACTAGAGCTTTGATCTGCAAACTTGCAGCTGATTGTTACCTTAGACCCTGGGGTGACGAGAGGAGCTCCATGATTCTAGTTAGACCAGCCTAACGGATGAATTGTGACTCCTCACTTGCTGTTTGTGTGGCCTTCAGTTGCGCTGTTGAGACTCTCTGACATTCCGATTCACTGGTAATGATAACTGTCTCACAAAGTCATTGTAACAAGTATTGTGAGAACATCCAGGATAATGCCAGTCATATGGTAAGTTTTCAGTAAAAGTTCATTTGTTCCTTCTTCTCTAGAATGAATCATAGAAACCATCTACTTACCTAACGTTTCCAGTGAAACAAGCTAGTTTGCTCAGAACCTGATTTAATTTGCATTATTGCATCAGTATGACCTCTCTTTACAGTAAAGTTATTTATGCTTCTCCAAAGGCAAAATTTAAAATTATTTTGACTGGGCGTGGTGGCTCATGCCTGTAATCCCCGCACTTTGGGAGGCTGAGGACGGTGGATCACTTGAGGTCAGGAGTTCAAGACCCGCCTGGTAACATGGTGAAACCCTGTCTCTACTAAAAATGCAAAAATTAGCTGGGCGTGGTGGCGCACACCTGTAATCCCAGCTACTCAGGAGGCTGAGGCAAGAGAATTGCTTGAACCCGGAAGGTGGAGGTTGCAGCGAGCCGAGATTGCACCACTGCACTCCAGCCTGGGTGACAGAGTGAGACTCCATCTCAAAAAAAAAAAAAAAAAAAGCTGTTGGTGGGTTAATGTTACCCAGAAGCAGGTCATACTATGCTCACACGTCTTCTGTCCACATCATACCAATGCTAGAATAAAGGGGGCAAACAGAAAAACAGGTTTTCTTGGGAAATGATGTATGGAAGTTGCTGCACAGGGGTCTCTAACGGCAGAGGTGCCTCCAGGGGGCTTTGATATGGTCAGCAGTAGCAGCGCACACCGCAGTGCCTTCCTTGCTTGTAGTAAGTGGCCTCTGGGTTCTTAAAGCAAGACCCTATTGTGTAAGATGCTGGACTTGGGAAAACCCCTGGCAGGGGCTGCACTGAGGCTGGCGGCTCCTGCGGGGGCACTGCGTGCTGCACAGTGTAAGAGGTAGCCGCTCTAGGCCCACCACGGTGGCTCACGCCTCTGATCCCAGCACTTTGGAAGGCCGAGGTGGGCGGATCACTTGAGGTCAGGTGTTCGAGATCAGTCCAGCCAACATGGTGAAACCCCATCTCCACTAAAAACACAAAAATTAGCCAGGTGTGGTGGTGGGTGCCTGTAATCCCAGCTACTTGGGAGGCTGAGGCAGGAGAATCGCTTGAACCTGGGGGGCAGAGGTTGCAGTGAGCCGAGATAACGCCACTGCACTCCAGCCTGGGCAACAGAGTAAAACTCCATCTCAAAAAAAAAAAAAAAAAAGAGGCAACTGCTCTGGATGCCCCGGTTTGTGGCGAACTTCAGAATTGGGTGTTGGTGTGTCGGTGCTAAGTGACCAAGACAAAACCACTGTGGATGTATCACAAGGGCTGGAGTCACAGAGTCAGAGCTGATGGGGCTTTGCTGCCAGCCGTGCACCATCTGTCCAGTGGGAAGTCCTTTCTGTGCTGGGAGGAAGGCGCCGGTAGGACCCCTTGTCCTGCGCCAGTGCCAGCCTCTCTCAGCCCGTGTGCAGCCCGTACATGTCCACGGCAGCCCTCAGCTGGATCTCAGAGCTGTGGGCAGGGGTGGAGGCTACTGCTAGGCCATCCTGCTGCTCCAGCAGCCCCCTCAGGGACACTTGACTTTTCCCGTGAACCCAGGCCTGCCATCCAGGGTGGAGATTTCATTTGGAAATGCTCGCCTCACTTCCTGTGCGGTTCCTCTGTCTCTTTTATGAGCGGGACATACCCCTCATCCACTGCCTCATCCAGGTTTCCTGGTGTGGCAGCGTCCCCAGGGACCCAGAGCGAGCCAGGGAAAGTGAGTCAGTGGCTTCCCAAAGTGGCTGCCTGGCCTGTGGTGTCACAGGGCTGCTGCTCTCTGCCCTTTGTCCTGTCTCACGGTGTCCCCAGCCCTCCCAGCACAGGCCGCTGAGAAGACAGAGTTGAGTTGACTGTCACTGTGGTCTCCGGGAAGACCACTAGGCAAAGCGCTGGCAGGTCTCGGAGTGGGAAGGCAAGGTCAGACTGGGTTGAGAATTGCAGCTTTGACTGAAGGCGGTCTTTCAAAGCAGGCTCTTGGTGAGGATTGGGTAAGAATCGCGATATTGCAGCGCAGAGTTGGTGGAAACAGCAAGCAAGGGTTTCGAGAACTTCGAAGACTCCTGGGGCAAACTTCTGCTGCTTCCTACTGCAGAGTAGATGGGCCTTCAGGGAAGTTGCTGGCAGGAACAGTCCTCCCATTTGTCTGGGTGGATGGTCCGGAAGAGCAAAGACATGCTAATGAGACAGAGGAATAGCAAGTCCCGTTCATGCAGACAGGAAGGGACCTCAGTTCTCAGCGCCAGCCTGAGTGTGGGGGCTGCTTGGCTCGGCCTGTTTCCCCGCTAGGGACGTTCTATGCGTTTTCTTCTTCGTGGCTTTTTGTTTTCTAATAAAAGATGTTTCTATTCATAAATGTTGTAGATGAGGATAATGTCCATTTATTTTATTTTGGAGGGGCGGGGATGGGGAAGGCTGAGGAAGGGGGCTGTCTGATTGCTGGCTCATGCCCAATTACAGTTTATTTCCTCCCTGAGTGCCCTGTTTGATGTGGGAAGGAAAGGGAATGAAATCCTCTTTTACGCCTGAGCAGTGCAGACAGCCTTCTCCGGACAGTTTGGCTTGACCTGTTGAGAGTGCTTTCTCCCTGGCGAGAAGGAACAGGAAAGCTCACGGCAGCGAGTGGCACAGGGGTGGAGCCACAACGTGGCTCTTTCTCCTTCTCCTTTTCCTTCTTCTTCTTTTTCTAAAAAATCCAGTCCACTAAAGCACGAATGTGTTTCAGAGTCGCAAGTGAAGTATAGCAGGACTTTAAAAGACCAAAGCTGTCTTTCAACGTGTTGATATTCTCGGACTGTAGCAAACACAGTTTGGACTTGTCCATTTAGAAAGAGGTGTCAACAGGCTCTGAAATGCCATTGTACCAAGGGAAATGAGGACATGTGGCAAAGCTTTAAGAATTCAGCCCCTAGACTTACTTTTGATTGATTGAAAAAGTTGTGCTTGAAATAATTTATTTTCTTGAGTTTTTTGATTTTTATTTCTTCAGTTCTATCTGGTCACCTTACCTGTGTGGGCATGACCAGCACCTGAGGAAGAATGATTAACAGATGTACAAATAACTTAAATGTACTTGAAAGCTATAAAGCAATATGTGTTACTGAAAATAAACAGATAGTGTAATACCTGGATTATAAACATCTCCATCACTTGAAAATCAAGTATTGCCTTAATTCAAATAATAATACCTCAATGTTTACATAGTGCCTATCTGAAAAGTATTTAAAGTTACTGTTATTTTCTAGATTTCCTGGTGGGTTGATTCACTGGAGCGCTAGTTGGTTAGGGAGGTAGCACCCGAGCTGCCACCCTGTCACAGCTCCCAGATGGACATGGAGTTGGGTGCTGGGTGGGTTTGGGAAATCTTCTGGGTCCGGCCCTCCCGGATATGCTTCCTGTCCTGGGGCTTCAGGGGATCTGCGTTCTCAGGCCACATGCAAAACCAGTTGTTAGTCATCCCTGACACACTCTGAGTCACCAGCACCCTCTGGGAAGCCACAGGGAGACCTTGGCTGAAGCCACCGCAGCACCATGTTTCGCCATCTTGCAGCAAGTCTGTTTATTTGGCATCTCCAGGACCTCACTCTTTTGAGTGTTGGTCTCAGTTTGCAGACAGATGTAACTGTGGACTCCCGGGTGCGGTCTGTGCCTGTTGGGAAGGTGGTGCTCAAATACTCGTACATTCATAATAGCCAAAAGGTGGAAGCAGCCCAAATGCCTGTGATGAATGGATGAGCAAATTGTGATATATACATACAATGAAAAACTATTCAGCTATAAAAAGGAATAAAATACTGATACATGCTACAATGTGGATGAACCTTGAAAACATTATACTGAATGAAAGAAACCAGACACAAAAGGTCACATATGGTGTGATTCCATTCATAGGGCTTGTGCAGAGGAAGTTGGTACATGGAGACTAAGTAGATTTGTGATTGCCAGGGGTGGAGAAGGGGCAATGGGGAATAACCGCTTAATGAATATGGAGTGATTTAGGGTGAAGAAAGTGTTTTGGGGTTAAATAAGGGTGTGGATGTGCTCAGCGGCACTGAGGTGTTCACTTTGAAATGGTTAATTTTATGCTATGTGAATTGCAGCACATACAAAAATTGATATGGTTTAAATGTGCGTAATTAGTTCCTAGCAGGAAGAGGGTTTAGATCAACAGTATTAAATATTTTCCTACTGAAAACACACGGCACATATAACACCTACAGTCAGCGGCATCCACACAGGAGACACACTCCCAGGAGCTCCCAGGATTATGCACGATTTACGTGAGTTTCCTGAATGCCACTTCATCAGCTTTGTTACGTTAACGCTGATTAATTACAAGTTACTCGTGGCGTATCTTGCAGAAGCAGGGTGAGGGGATTAGGTGATGGTCATTCTAACTTTTGATAATTTTGAGGGACAGCAGTGTAGAGAGAAAATACTAGTGTAAAAAGTTACATTTATCTGGGTGCAGTGGCTCAAGCCTGTAATCTCAGCACCTTGGGAGGCTGAAGCAGGAGGATCGCTTGAGCACAGGAGTTCGAGACCAGCCTGGACAACACTGAAACCCTCTCTACCCACTACCCCAAAATAATAATAATAAGTAGCCAGGTATGGTGGCATGCGCCTGTAGTCCCAGCTACTCGGGTGGCTGAGGTGGGAGGATTGCTTGAGCCCAGAAAGTTGAGGCTACAGTAAGCCATGATTGCACCACTGCACTCCAGCCTTCGTGACAGAGCGAGACCCTGTTTCAAAAACAAAAAAGCTATATTTATATAGAGAAGCCTAAAGAATACAAAATGTGTACCCTAATTCCTCTGCTTAGATCACATCTGTTGACATTTAAAAATAAATATAAGGAGGCCAGATGTGGTGGCTCATGCCTGTAATCCCAGCACTTTGGGAGGTCGAGACGGGTGGATCACAAGGTCAGGAGTTCGAGACCAGCCTGACCAATATGATGAAACCTGGTCTCTAATAAAAACACAAAAATTAGCCGAGTGTGTAATCCCAGCTACTCGGGAGGCTGAGGCAGGAGAATCACTTGAACCCGGGAGGTGGAGGTTGCAGCGAGCCAAGTTTGTGCCACTGCACTCCAGCCTGGGTGACAGAGTGAGACTCTGTCTCAATAATAATA